GTAGGGGGTAGGGTCCTAGGGGGCCAATTAGGATGGGGGGAGGGTCTCAGGAGGGGGCAGTCAGGGGACAAGAGGCAGGGAGGCTTAGGTAGGGGGTGGAGTCCTGGGGGGCAGTTAGGGGCCGGGGTCCCAGGAGGGGGCAGTCAGGGGACAAGGAGCGGGGGGCAGGGTTGGGGGTTCTGAAGGGGGCGGGAAGTGGGAGGGGCAGGGGCGGGGCTAGGGCAGGACGGGGCTCCTCCCGTCCTCTTTTTTGCTTGCTGAAATATGGTAACCCTAATGATACTGCAAGGCAATGATTATTACTTCACTGGGTTTAAATAATAATTAAAAGCATCTACAGTTTGTGACAGTCACCTTTTTGTTTGCATTTATAAATCCAAGGAAATAAAAATGAAGTTAATGGAAAAATTATTCAATCAATGCCAAGGGGCTAAGCAGTGCTTCACCCAAAGTTAGAGAGATATGAAGTGGATTTTTTTTTTATTTATTTTTTTAAGTCTTTGAGACATCTACAGCCTGGGTTACATGCTATTACGTATAAAAATCTAACAAACTAGGCAAGTTCGTTTTTTAGGCTCCAATTCAGCAAAACAATTATGTACTTAACTTTAAGAACATGCTTAAATCTCACTGAAATCTTAGATTTAAGTTAGTTTTAGGATTTAGACAGCTAAGAGCCTTCCCAGGTTTTGGATCAAATGCAATGTTTACTTTAGGAGAACCCTACGTTCTTGCACACTCAAGGCTCTCATTGAGGTGCACGATAAGAATTCAAGATCAGGCCTCATTTCTTACACTGTCATATACCCACTTTACTTCCCTATATGTTAGTACTCCTCTCATTTTCATATAACATTACACAGAACACAAAGGCCAACTCCTTGTTTGGATTTTTCTTTGATGTTAAATATCACAATTCACACTCAGGAGGTCACACCATAAGGGCTTTTAGTTCATTAAAAAATTTCTGAATCCTCCAATCAGAGAAGAACTTGCGAGCTCCAAGGAGATGAAACATGTTTCATAATTTTCCAGCTTTATTTTTTTAACCAAAGATGCAAATACACCTCTACCCCAATATAACGCTGTCCTCAGGAGCCAAAAAAATCTTACGGCGTTATATCGAGCTTGCTTTGATCCGCCGGAGTGGGCAGCCCCGTCCCCCCGGAGCGCTGCTTTACCGCATTATATCCGAATTTGTGTTATATCAGGTCGCATTATATCGGGGTAGAGGTGTACTATAAATTGAACCCACAAATCACATCTCTCAGGAAAGTGGCTGCGTATGAAATGGATGCAGGATGCTTCCTGGGAGCAACAGCTGTGGGAAAATAATTTGCTCTTTCTTTGAAACTATCACTACATTTTTAAAGATACTCTTGGCACTAGTCTTTACTACAGACTTGTCCCCAATAACCACAAGATCAATAAGTGTCTGTGATAATATATTCAGGACCACATTTTCTACTGCAGGCAGAAGAGTACAAGACCACTAGCGTACACACACACTTTTATTCCTTACGGCTCTTGAATTTTGTTTCTAGTATAACCTCCACTTCTCTTCTGATGTCACATTTCCTAAAATTGTGGAACTCTATAGCAATACCTTTTAAAAATATATAATTTTTGAACTGTTATTAATATTAGACAAAAATTTAACCAAAAGCTTGATCATGAGTTCGGATATGCTGATTGTTCCTGCTCAACCAAGATCAGGATTGAGCCACAAAATGACAATATATGAAATGCTAGAAAATGAAGAAAGTATGCAATAGCTCCTTGAAAATGAAATGTATGAATACGTACAGAGAAGAGTTCCATACACCATCCAGACTCCAACCATAGTTAGGAAGAGCAGAAACAAGATGAAATAATAATGGTTGCCAACACCTGTATTTGGGATAATGAAGAAAATACTTTTTATTGTGTATTTTAACACCATTTGTATTTTCCCAAAGTTCACAGAAGTAGAAAGATATTCAACATCATTCAAAGAAAGTTCTGACTATCCCTTCCACCATGCTCAGTAAATTACACCACAGTTTGACCTAATTCCTTCCCAACTTTCTCATGCTAGTAATCCCAGTTACATCAATGGAACTAATGAGAAAGGTGACAAGTATTTAGTCTGTATTTGGAGCTAGCCTTAACTAGCAACCCCAGCTCTGTTCTAGCTCAAGATAATCACCTCATTATAAAACAGTAAAACTGTACTACTGCTATTTAATTTAGCTATCTGAGCTCTGTATTCTTCAGCATTACGAACTCACATGTAAAAGACAAAATAGACTGTTTTGGGTATCGTATTACACAAACTATAATCTCTCTTTAAATCTTGATTATAAATATGTTCAAAGCTTTACATCAGAATTACTTCAGTCTAACAAATAACTTTGTATACCTCACACAGTGCAGTGGAAATTCTAAATATTTACCTTTCCAATTTACAAGTAAAGTTACAATAACCTAAACATATGCTTTAAAAAGACAGTCCTGCAGCTTTAAGGTCCATAACAATCCAAGCCTATCTATCTTTTTCTCCATTTCCTCTCTAATGATAGTGCTCAGAGCCCCAAGGAACCATTTTAGCTCCCTCACCTTAATGGCTTCATTTCAGAAACCACACAACAAAGGAGAAGGGCTGGATACAGATCTCACTGGCTGTCAATGTCCATACCCATTCATTTATCAATCACAAAAGTTAACTAGATTGTGATATTAGGTGCTGTCCTTCAGGAGATTAGCACAAGGTGTCTCCAAGTATGCTAAAATAAACAAACTCACCTATGCATTGTCCAGTCCACAAACAATGTTGGTCATATCTAGCAGTACATGAGTTGCAAGCAATGCAATGCATGGATCTCAAAGGCTTTTTTACCTAGTTGAAAGTGGAAGGGGAAAATGCAGTAATTCATTACATAAATCATGCATAAATCATGTAAGCCACTTATTTTTGCTCTACATTAAAAAAAAAAGCAGTTCCCATTATAGACCAAACTTTTCAACATAATTTAAAATGACACAATTATGCATTTTTCCTTTTATAGGCCAACTAAAACTATCTATAGTTGTTTAAAGGATTATTTGAAATTAAGGTTAAAGGCACAGAGCCTGCAGTCCTCACTCATGTGACAAGTAATACTGAAGTCAGACCCAAAGAATAAGAACAAAAATATAGTCCTCTTATTCAGAGAACTATGCACATAACACCCAGTGCATCAAAAAGGAGTAATATACATGAAACATGCAATAAAAACCTCACTTACAAGACATGATGTGCAAAATGTTCTGAAATCCAAGTGGCCAGCTTCTGCAAGAGTAACAATACTCTGAAAGACACAAGTTATTTTACAATTCTATTTATCTAATTTTTCCAGGGATGTCAGGAAGATCAGGGGCTTCTTAAATACTATCAAGATGACGAGTCCTCTTCAAGTGTCAAGTATTATTATTAAAGATATGCAATCAAAATATTTACACTGAGATGAAGCTAAATGATTTCCTGGAGTAGACAAAGAAAGGTGCACAGATTCAAGGAAATGCAAGATGGAAGAGACCTATCTGGTTTAGTCCTCTAGTACCCCAACCATGCAAGACGTTGTTTTTTTTTCTTTTTTTTTTGTGAAGTAGTGCTTGTCCAGAATAGTTAAAACAATTCATATAATATATATATATTAGAACCAGTCTCAATTTTTAAAAAGTACCTCTCATGCAGTTGGTAGTACTTCTGACAGACAACAAGGGCAGAGGCTGCCACATGTGGTGTCCCCCCCACAATCCCAAGTGACCATGAAGCGGAGCATAGTAAGCTACCTGTTAATTGCATGGCAACTTCTTGCCCCTGCATCCTAAATACAATTGGGTAACAGTTGCCCAGGTTACTTTTCCCAGGTTTCCATAATGTTTAACAAGAAGATCATGAAAATGCTCTTAACAAAACTTATAGCACCCCTAGCGCTGAGCATCAATATAACTTAGAAACACAAACATGCATAACGCATTATAAACATATGGAAACCACATGAGACAGTCACAGTTTGTGGGCCAAGTTTTCTATTACTTTTAATTACAGACAACACCAATGGCATTTTATTGGGTAAAACCAGTGTAGAATTCAGCTGCATCTCAAACTTCAACAGACAAAGACATCTATGTGAGATGATGTAGAGAGGAAGTTATTTTTTTAAGAAAGCAGTGATAAGAGAAATAATTTACAATATATAAAAATAGGTAAGTATTAGCTGCCACTTACGGTACTAAGTGTTAAAATAAATCTATTTGAAGACTAAAGGTAATATTACTGTTTAAATATAAAATCACAGAAAAAAAATGAACAAACATATTATACTGTGGTATATTTTAAGTTGTTTTGTTGAGATAAAATACCTTTCTTCTTTCTTCTTCAGAGACCTTAATGTATCCAGGATCCGTTCTCCATGTTTTGTAGAAATAGTAGAGAAGACCCATCACGCTGAGGATGAAGGGGATCTGGAAAATTGTGTCTGCTAAATGTAGCATTCAAGTTAAGGAATATTGTTTTACATAAATTTATCAATATTTTGCCCTTACAATGATTATACTTTAAAATTAACTTGCACTGCATCATTGTAATTTTACAAGTATTTCACTAATAACGAAAAAGGATGGACTTCACTTTTGTACAATCTTTGTACTCCATAGGCTCTCACACAGCAAGGGCTTTACTGTTTTGTTCAATGTAGTTCTAGAGATTTACTATCACAGTTTATAACTTACAAGCCAAATTCAAGACCAAAGATCTCTTTTTCCCTCTCCTACAGAGTTCAGATTCCTGCCTTTGACTACACCCTGGAACACACATCCCTTCACATCCCTTCTCCACCAGTAAGGAATACTGCATATAAGGAATGACAGTAAGAAGGAACATACGCTAAGACGACATCCACTAGTGGAGGATCTCACAGGCCAACTGACAATAATTCTACTACCAATCACCCTCAAAAGGAAAGACATTTATAGGATGGAAAAAGAAAATCCTATCAGCATTCTGTTACAACTCAAGATCCTGGACTAGATGAACTCCTGATTTGATCTGGTATTTGATCTTTTTCTATTTCTACCCCAGGACTGACCAATTTAATAATATTTATATGTAAATATATACTGTACAAAATATACAGATAGGTACACACATTTTAGGCGTAGTATTGTTATGTATATAGATATTTGCTGCACTACTGTTACACTAGTGTAAAGCTTTTATATAAATGAAGATACATGTGTATTATAAACAGAATTTTTACACCCCTCTATTATAAGCATTTATACACAGGTTCTGTGTGGGGGTGCTGAGAAGGGCACTTAAACAAATCACACCAAGTTAAGACTGGTATCTTCCTAGGTACAGCACTGTGCACTTTAACTCAAAGTTGTTCTCTCTTGCATATTACAAATACAATGAGGTAACTCAGTGGCTAAAACCAAAAATGTTACTCTAACAAATATTGATATTGTGTGTTTTGAGATGTAATCTCTTCCATAGCTCGTATCATGTTTAGTCATGACGCAATTGCAGGACATTATCTTGTGAGCCCATATGGTGCTGTATTTCCTTGTGGATATTGTTAATACTCTGCATCTGTTTCTGTTTTGTAGATCTGGGGGAGCAAATCCAGAACATACTAGCTGGGAGTTTAGCAAAGCATATGGGAAAGGTTCAAAAAACATGTATAAGTATGTCCAAAGAGTTTGGCTCCACCAATCAAAACATTTACACCACACTCATGAATCTGTGGGTACTCCCAGGAAAGAAATATGTACACACGTAGGAGGATGGGGGAAAACAAAAGGAATGGGACCTACTTGCCCACCACTTCTCAAGTACTGGTCAGGGCTTTCTGTGTTCATTTTGTTCACTATTTCTAATGCACGACCAGTTAAAGGTTTTAATTTTTAAGTCCTGAAACAAAGGATTGAACTGACATAAATCATTTAAACTTACAGCCAGAAACTCAAATTCCACATTTACACACAGCAGTAACAACAAATAACTTACTTACAAGTGAGACAAATATATACATGGTTCCCAGCTGGAATATACCCACCACAGAAATTAATCCTAATAATCATATTAAGGAGATCTCATTAGAAATAGTACAAAAGAAAATGCCACTTAAGGGATGAAGTAATTAAAAATGTAATGCTACTTAATGTAGGAATATATTACTGCTGGTTTAATACAGAAATTATTTTCAGTTACAAATATCTCCCTAAAGGCCTTCTGATCTAATGGAAATGTTTTACAAAACTAAAAGATAAAGCCCTCCGTGCAACAACAAAGCAGAATATAGGATAGTGAGTGCAACAACACTTGTACATCGCTTTACACATACTATCAATCCATAGCCTGTTATAAGAACTGAAGTGTGTTAAAGAAAAGCCATATACCATACACAGAGAATGCAGCTCAACCCCTGAATGTATCTGAAGGCAGTACACTTTTGAAGTTCTATTTAAAAAAAAAAAATGATAAAGCAGCAGCAAAAGGAGTTCTGAATCACTGTCCTTTTAGAATGTGGAGATGTCATTTACTTTTTACTTATCTGGGCCCCAATCCAGAAGGCATTTAAGCATGTGTCTGAACACTGTGCTTGATCAGAGCCTTGATGAGCGAGGTAGGTGGCCACATGAGGAACTAACCTGGAGGGAAAATTGGGTTTAAAAATGGCACACACTAATTTGTATTCAACAAAACATTAAAAAAAAAAAATCTACTGTTGTGCCTTCACATTTAAACCAACTTGTTATCTGATGGCACTGCTTAAGTTTAATCACAGGAAAGCAGAATTCCATCTCCTGGTGCCCCATGTAACATCCAAAGGGTAAGAAGGCAAATCTTATAAACAAATACACCTCTACCCCGATATAACGTTGTTCTCGGGAGCCAAAAAATCTTACCGCGTTATAGGTGAAACCGTGTTATATTGAACTTGCTTTGATCAGCCGGAGCGCGCGGCCCCGCCCCCCCGGAGCGCTGCTTTACCGCATAATATCTGAATTAGTTATATATGAGGTCGCATTATATTGGGGTAGAGGTGTATATGTTCTTTGTTATTGGATCCCCTCTAACAACCTCAAAAATAAATGCATAAGTGAAATTGAAGCTTACTAAAGATAAATGTTCTTCAAAAGACATTTTACCATGAAGGCAAAATGTAATTTTAAAGTAATAATGAACAAAAGCTTTTTATACATTTTTACTCAACTAATAACTTTATTTAAAGGAATATTTGAATATAATGGATAACGCTTGAAAAGCCCAATCTCAATACTATCAACTATTGCCCCAAAAGTAAAACTGTATTATACTTAGCAATTATTCTCTAATCATGTAAACCTCAATTTCTGTCCACTGATAGCCTTCAGATAAAGTAGTTCAAAACTACATCATCCCTTCCTAATGGAAGCAAAACACCAACCCTATGTACACTTACAAGTTAGTAGCAAAAGCATACATATTTGCAGAACTGGGGCCCAAATTTATTTGGCATTTCACTCCTTGAGTATAAAGGATATCAGGCAGGAACCAGACAAACCAGGTCATAGACAGCCAAAAAATGGAACTTAGCATGAAAATTGCTGGTAAATATTTTAGGTTCTTGAGCTCCACAAATTGCCTGAAAGACATTATTAAAAAACATCTATTTCCAAGCCATATCAATTCGCAGTCAAATATTTTAAATGTATTATAAAGACTTTACTCATGTTCATTTTAAGTCATCATTTAAACTGAATTATAAACTATTGCTCAAAAAGCTTTTGTGGCCGCTATGGCATGCCACCTACAGTGCTGCTCTGTAAAGGAAATGTCCTGAAGAACACTGTGTTCCAATATAATACAATGGCAACAGAATCAGCTTCTTTATTGACGAATACTCTAACATGCGAAGTGTACAGTCTATGTTAACTCCTACACAAGGGCAGTACCAGTATCATTTCAACAGACGCTAGTTGCAAGGTGTTGCAGTAGATTAGAGGTTGGGGGTGATGCTAGGGGGGAGGAAGATTTCTCAAACACAATCCAGGATCTTATCCCCAAGGGGAAAAAAGGTTTCGCTAACATACATTTTTGTAATTACTGTTAGAGGGTAAGCTCAGCATGTAGCAATATCAGACCCTCAACAATATTTATGTTTAATTTATTTTTGTGTGCGTCATTCATTTAAAATGGAACAGTATGTCTGAACAATTCTTATCTACCACTTAGGTTTACTGTTACTGGGAGATTAAACAGTTTTTGCATTTGTAACTTTGTTACCTTCTGTAATTGTTTTGATAAACATTTAACCATAGGAGTCTTTAAAAACAAAACAAAAACTTAGTGGGAAATAATTATTTTAACCAGTTAATTTACTTATAGCTAAAGTGAACTTATAAGACACTCTGAAGGGAATACTGTACGAGAGACATACAAATATAATTCTTATATAAATACATGCACAGAAAATCTAAGTGCACAAACCTTGTAAGCAGACTTATCCCGAAAAATATGAAGAGAAGCAGGCTTCCTTTCAAAAGCCAAGAATCGGAATTTAAGTCCATTATGTATCCTATCGCCCACATCAGTGTCAAGGAAGACAGCAACAGCAGGAAAAACTATCAAAATGATTAATGTTACAACACTATATCTAAATATTACACTAAGTACAAAACAGCACATGACACGGCAAATGCAAGATGCAAAAATTAATGGGAGTTCAAAGGCAAAGAAAGAATTCCCCGAGGACAAACAAAACAAGCGGGAAAGCAATATCACTATATTTTGCATTAAAGTTTTTCTCTACAACCCATCTCTTCTTCAATCTGTTTTCTAACTTTGTTCCAAAAGACTATTTTAACTTCTTAAACCAAATGCTTCAACTGCTGTAAAATATTACTAGTTTCAGAAGTTTCTCTTAAAAAAAATTGTGCCATAGGAACTGTAAGTGTACTATTTTTCTAATAAATAGCAAACTACAAATTAAATTAAAACCATTCTTCAATTATAAAAACCTCCAGCTCTTTATTAACCACATTAGTTGAGAAAAGGTCTAACATCAGACCCAATGAAAAGTATTAGAATTTAAACAAATATTAATGTCCTATTGTACATATTAAAAAATTCTCATGCTACATTTTGAAACCAGGTGTTTTTTTCTTATAGAAATTAAATCTGTGTGCAGGAAGAGGCTCAGGGCAAGGGATTGGGGCAGAGGAGGGGTGCGGAGTGTATGAGGGGGCTCAGAGAAGGGGGTTGGGGTGCAGGAGGGGTGTGGAGTGCAGGAGGGGGCTCAGGGCAGGGGTTGGAGTGCAGGAGGGGTGCGGCAGGGGGCGCAGGGTGCAGCAGGGAGCTCAGGGCGGGGGTTGGGGTGCAGGCAGTGGGCTTAGGGCAGGGAGTTGGGGGGCGGGGTGCAGGAGGGTTTTGAGCTCTGGCCCGGCGCCGCTTACCTAAAGTGGCTCCGGGGTGGCAGTAGCGCACACCGGGGCCAGGGCAGGCTCCCTGCTTGATTGCCCTGTCCCCGGCCCCACGCCGCTCCAGGAAGCGCTGCGGCCCCTGGGGGAGGGGGGACAGGAGGGCTCTGTGTGCGTTGCCCTTGCCGCGCCTCCAGGTACCTCCCCCGAAGTTCCCATTGGCCGCGGTTCCCCATTCCCGGCCAATAGGAGCTGCAGGGGGCAATGCCTGGAGGCAAGGGCAACGCACACGGAGCCCTCTGCCCCCCCACCCAGGAGCCGCTTCTGAGAGCGGCGCCGGGTCCATGGGGGACAATCCCGCGGGCCGGATCCATAGCCCTGAGGGGCCGGATATGGCCTGCGGACCGTAGTTTGCCCACTCCAGGCTTAAACGGAGGCAAGATTAGACTACATAAGTCATATACATTAATATATATGTAAAAATGTCTACTGCTGTAGTCCATGAATTGTTTCTATATGAAAGAAAATACCTCATATTTCGCTAACATCCTGAGTAACCTGGAGTTTTTTCTGATTCTCATTTTTTCTTCTTGAGTTAGCATATGAATAAGCAAGCGATTTTGAATTTGGTGAGCAAGGTCAAGTGGTGTGTCTCCCTTTAAAAATAGAAATTAAAGTTTACTTTTCTAAATGTATGTTACATTTAAATAACTACTGAGAAGTAACAGAAAAATGGAATTATTTGGTGGATGTTTATTTTTCAAACTAATTTAAGTTACCAATAGCAGGTTTACTGCAGAGATACAATAAAATTAAGTTAACCAAGTAGACTGTTCTGGCTGCAAATGTTTTCAGTGCTAACAAATCTGAATTATCAGCTGTACGGTCTATATGAGGAGATGCAATAATCTGAAGTTCTAGCAAAGTCAAGGTCAAGAAATTTTGCATTCCAACCACAAGGGGAAGGCAAGAAAAGTATAAATAAGGATGGTATTCTAGGATTCTCACATGAAAATGAAAGAAGATATCATATGCTTCCCAGTGTGGGTAGGCAGACATGCATTAGTTCTGCTCAAGCTAGCATGTGAAAAAGAGCAGTGAAGCCATCTTAAAAGGTTTGTGTTTTCAGAGGGAAGATGTCCAGCACTTATGAAAGTCAGGTCCCTTTAAGGGTCTCAGAGCAGACACCCAAAAATCACTAGCAACCTTTGAAAAATCTCTGCCTTAGTACCTATTCCTCACAATTGCCCTCTGAGGTAGGAATTATTATCCACATTTTATAGCTCGGGAAAATGAGGCAGAAATGTCAAGTGGCTTGCCTAAGATAAAAGGATATGGGTGTTTGTTGAAGTAACATAGCCATGAATGTGTGTATTCAACCTCTGCACCACACAAAAACAAATCCCCATCTACATTTTAGAAAAAATGAATAAGAATGCCAACCGGTATGGTCGTATTCAGATGTCCATTATAATGGACATCAAGGTCCCAATTACCTGAAACAGGATTAGACAGAGCCTTCAGATTGTTTTCTGAAGTAATTTCACATTGTTGTACTACACAGAATGAAATGAAATTTAAAAAATTGTACCTTGACATTTTTTATGTCCAAATTAGATCCAGCATCCAGCAGTAGCTCTACAGCATTAACATTTCCTGCTGTAACTGCCCAATGCAATGCAGTATTCTTTTGAATTTTGTCTACAGCACTGAGAGAAGGATTAAACTTTAAAAGAAATCCAGTGGGTTCTGGTCTAGATGAAAATAAACAGGATATACAGACCAGTTAGCAAACAGAAGACAATTTAGATTAGAGATAAACACATTTTTAAAACACTTTATAAACTAAATTAATCTTCACACCATCATGTGTCTATCCTCATTTTAGGGTGGCAGGGCTGGCTCTAGGCACCAGCTTAACAAGCAGGTGCTTGGGGCGGCCAAGGGAGGGGGCGGCACCTGTGGCAATTCTGGGGCGGCAGGTCCCTCACTCCCTCTAGGAGGGAAGGACCTGCCACTGAACTGCCGCCGCCGATCGCAGTCTTTTTTTTTTTTGCTTGGGGCGGCTGGAGCTGGCCCTGTAGGGTGGGAACAAAGACGGACACTGCTGTCAGTGATTTGCCCAGGATTACGCAGCTAGTCAGTAACAGAGTCAGGATTAGAATTCATGACTTCCTAGTAGTTATTTCTCTAAAATACACTTCCCATACTTCTCTCGTATGCAAACGTCAAAGCTTCATGTCCAGATTCCACAACCAGAGGATAGCCTCTGTATCGGGGAGGCTAGAAATTGTAAACCACTCTTGAGATGTCAGGTTGAGTATTCTTCCACCACGAGTTGTTGTCTGCA